GTTTGACCCAGCTGTTTTTTGCATTAAATAATCTAGGGTTCTTTTTCTGATTTCTGATCTGGCGCTCGTTGTAGATAATTTCAATTTAAACCAACAAAATCGCGTCGACAATAGTGGCTGTGGTTGTCGTCTTTACATCTCCATATGATCTAAACATTTATTTCTTCTCTAGAAATCTATGTTTCCTTTCGGTAATCCTGTTTAGCGCCAGCAATCTCCCCACAAATAAGAAAACCTTAACTGGCTCTGTATATGATCACTCTTGTTAATTAGGTAATGAAAGCCATCTGTGTGACCTTTCAAAAAGTCTCAGAGACTCCGATGATGTAAGAATAATCTTAGGCGACTTTAATTTGCCAAGAACACGACAGACACGGAGCTAGCGAGACGCGCAGTATTTCAGCTCGGAGTACTACGATCCGTGTGATCCTCCAAGATTGCCACGCGAGGCAAATTGACCAAGAAAAGGCCATGGGCGAGAACGACACAAATCTGTTTCAGCAGAAGGTGACTGAACGAGTCTGTGAACAGACAGCGACATGCGACGCAGCACTGGCGAACAAATTCCACAAACTGCTTGATCCAACGTCACCCAGAGGCGGCACACTGGTACACGACGTGTCGTCAAAGGAACAAAGTACAAAGGAGAAAGTACAGGTTTTACGGCACGAAGCTTCATTCGAATAGCTGGTGCCAAACTTGTCAGCAAGACTGCAACGGTGTACTCGGCTATCAATCAGACGGAAGCGACGTAAGTGGCGAAAAACCTTATCAGACACCACGTGTCGCCTCTTTTTATGACTTACAGACAGTGCGAAACACTCCCAAATGTCGAACGCGATGCACTCAGAGAACTCAAGGCCGTCAAGGAGATCGTTATTGTGCCTGCGGACAAGGGGCGTTTTACCGTCGTATTGGACAGAACGGACTACCTTCAGGGGGCCAAAAAACTACTGGAGAATCGTTAGTTTTATGTCCCATGCGAGATCAACCCTGCAAAAACGCTGACACGCGAAATTAGTGCGACGCTGTTGGCCCTGGAAAACTCGAGTATAATAACACCAATCGATCGACGTGTGACGAGGACCCAAGAAACGGCCTTGACCTTCCTAAGATGTACCAGGAGGGCGCCCCTCTCCGGCCCATTATATCGCTTAAAGACACTCGAATGTACGGACTGGCAAAATGACCGTTTCCGCGGCTCACTAATCAAACCGCTGATTCGGAAACTACGATCTCTTCATCAACGCAATTTTTGCATAAGCTTAAAGGAGTAAGTCTCGTGCCAAATGAGGCCATGATAGCTTTTGATGTCACATTCTTCTTTACGTCTACCCCCAGGACCTGGCGATCGAGACCGTCGAAATCCTCCTACAAAGCAAATAAAATTAAACAAAGAATCACCTCGGACATGTCCAAGTCATTCAGCTCCTAAAGTTCTGTCTCGGGACATACTTCACGTTTTACTGAACAATATACGAACTGGTGAAGATAAAACGAATCGGTTCGCCGATTTCGGGGGACATTGCTGAGGCAGTCATGCAGCGGTTAGAGTCGCTGGTCTTCTAACACCACAGACCGAAATTCTGGCTCAGTATGTGGAAGATACCTTCGTCGTCATTGAACGAGATCAGGGGCTAACGCTCAAAGAACGTCTTAATGGCGTCTTCCTGGACATACAATTTACGATGGAAGAGGAAAAAAATAACAAGCTGGCCTTCCTTGACGTACTGTTCTGTCGCTAAGATTATGGTGGCCGAAAGACCAAAATGTTCAGGGAAATGAAGAACATGACACAAATACCGAACTTCAACAGCAACCACCCAATCAACCACAAATGCAGTTACTTAAGGGAACTATATGGACGTGCTGAGACGCAATGCAGTGAACCGGAAGACAATTTTTCCGAATTCCAATATCTTTGACGGGTTTTCAAAGAAAATGGTTACCCGTGCACGTTTGTCAACCGATGCATGCGCAAACGAGACGAATGACAAAATCTTACCGACTCCAAATTCTGGCTGGCGATCCCGTGCATCAAGAACTTCTCCCAGGCCGTTAACCGCCTTCTCGCACCGCTTGGGATTGGAGTTACACACAGACCGGAAGCCACCATAAGGCGTCAGATGGTGAGACCAAAAGACCCGCTGCCATGCCAAGAAATATCTGGAATTGTTTACCGGATCTGGCGCAGTTGCGGGCAAAGCAACTACGTCGAGGAAACCGTAAGACTGCTCCGGATGCGAGTACCAGAATAGGCGGCAGCGGTGCGGAGAAATGACGCCAACTCTCAGGTTGTGGCTCTTTCGACGAGACCCGGCCAAACATTAAAGTTCGATGAGGTCGAAGTCCTTGCTACGGGGGAAAATCGCGTGAGCCACGAGTTGTTTGAGTCATGGTTCACGGGACCCTAGTATATCAACAAGTGCAACGAAACCCCTACTCCGAGCTAAGAATCGTGTGAGGTACATCGGAAAGCACAAAGATCTAGGAGAAAGGTCGATGAAAACCAATGCCTAGGACAAGGGAAAGATTGCCAAAATACGGATGGGGTAATAGTTGGCGGCTTGAAGTTGAAGTCTAGGACAGGGAAAAAAGACGGTTGACTTGGGTGGGGGGGGACAACGTTGATTGGGGCTCCGGTGCTCACATTAAAACGTCTGCAAGTCACGCTGTCGCATACAAGGAAGGTGCAAGAGTGTGACCTGAGCTCGAAGAGCCAGACGAAACTGTCGCATATCTTCTCTGGCTGACTGGTTTTCTTGTTTCGACTTAAAGGAGTAGGGGAATGAACACCGACGGTTCCTTGCACCGAAATTAATATGATGCAAACAAATACTGGCCTTCCGAGGTTGCCGGCGAGAATGACGATGCCTGGGTGAGCGACTGGAA